GTGATGGGAGTGCCTGTTGCCCTCAGTTGGTGGTACATTCCTTTAATCCCAGAATGTGGAGGCAGGCAGACATCTCTAAATTTGAAGTGAGCCTTGCCTACAAAAGAGATCTAGGCCAGCCAGGGACATATGGTGAGACCCTGCCTAAAATAAATAAAATAAAAAAGAATGCATGTTGTTCTTGCAAAAGGACCCAGTTCCAAGTTCTGTTCCCAGCATCCACATCAAGCAACTGCCTGTAACTCCAGCTCCTGAGAATATAACACTTCTGACCTCTGAGTGCACCTGAAATCACATGCAAAAAATAAGGAAAAATTTTTCTTTCTAGTTTTAAGACAGGGTTTTTTTCTGTGTAGCCCTTGGCTGTTCTAGAACTCGCTTTTGTAGACCAGGCCAGCCTCAAACTCACAGAGATCTGCCTGCCTCTGCCTCCCCAAGTGCTGGGATTAAAGGAGTGTGCCACCAAGCCTGGCTTAAAAAAAATAAGTTGTAAAGATGGCTTGCTAGTACAGGCCTGTAATCTAGCTTCTCATTTCAGTGAGTGAAGCTATAAACATACTACTGGTTTGTCAGCTGATGTGTTAATTTTGCAATTCCCCGCTTACCTTCTTTTTTTTTAAACATAATTATTTATTGATTCTTTGGGAATTTCACATTATGTATCCCAATCCTGCTCACATCCTAGTCTTTCCATACCTGCCCCTCACCCCTGAAGCATGTCCCCCCAAATTAATTACAAACAAAACCAACCAACCAATTCACCAATTCACCAACCAACCCACCAAACAACCAATCAACCAATCAAACAAAAACCCACCTTGCTCTTCTGTCTTTGCAACACCTCTTCATTCATCCTAGTGGCATCCAGAGCTGCAGTGTGACACATATTGCACAATCAGCCCCCCCCCAAAATGTTCATTGCAATGAGTCATCGGTCTGGTTCAAGGCCTCTGGCAGATTATCATCATCACTGGACCCTCCCCAAAACTCCTCTCTGACATCCTGCTGTTACCTTGAATCACGTAGATTCTGCAGTTATTGTTCTGTAGGGCCAGTCCTTTCACGAGCTCCAGCAGGTCATAGATGGGGTAGACGTTAGGGTGGGCCAACCCAAGGCCCAGGATGTGGGTGACGGTGATACCTGAGCTGGGGGCCACTGGGTGCAGGGACATATTTTCTAGGTCCATGCCATCCTGGTCAGCTCTCCCAGACCTGTGTGTGGTGAGTGGTGGGGCCATCTCTCCCAAGTGTGTGAGTGGGACCAGCACTCCTGATGCAGTGAGAGCCAGCTATCTCAGGGCCATGAGGGACGGGACCAGTTCAACATGGACCTCAGATTTCAACACTGTATAGCTCCCATTACCCCCTGTGGTAACATGGGCCATGGACATTATCACAGATCCCAGCTGCAGCAGAAACACAGACTCAGACATGCCCTTGGCAGTAGCCAGGACCATAAGATACCATGGCAGCTCAGGTTACCCAGATCGGCAGGGCCCCAGTGGTGACACAGGCTTCAGACACCAACATGGCCACACAGGTTTCAGCCCAGACCATGGGACTTTTGGAGGTACCATGGGCCATGGACATCAACATAGAACCCAGCTGTGGTAGGACCACAGACCCAGTCATGGTCCTCAGTAGCAGCCTGGGCTTGGATGTCACCATGGCCCCAGATAACAGCACAGGCCACTCAGATTGGCATGGCCTCCCATGGCAGCATGACTTTTGGACACCAACATGGTCCCAGGTATTGGTCTAGATCCCTGTCATCAGTCTTGCCTTGGATGGTATCAGGAGTCATGGACATCAACATAGACCTGGCTGTGGCAGGACCTCAGACCCAGACATGACCCTCAGCAGCAGCCCTGGACTGGACTACACTATGGCTCCAGGTGGGAACCGTAGTCCATTCAGATTGGTGTGGCCCTGGTGACAGCATGACCTTCTGGCACCAACCTGGCCACAGGTTCCTGCTTACCTCCTCCTCCTTCTTAAAGATTTTATTTATTTATTATGTATACAACATTCTGCTTTCATGTATATCTGCACACCAGAAGAGGACACCAGATTTCATGACGGATGGTTGTGAGCCACCATGTGGTTGCTGGGAATTGAACTCAGGACCTCTGGAAGAGCAGTCAGTGCTCCTAACCTCTGAGCCATCTCTCCAGCCTTACCTTTTCAATTTGTTGCCCAATGGCATTTGTTTAAATGTTTTCTATTTCTGAATACCGATCTTGGGAGAAACTGAATAAAACACAAATTGCTCACCAGTATGATGACAAATCCATAGCATCCTTTATTTTATTTTATTTTATTTTTTACGATTTATTTATTTATTATGTATACAGTGTTCTGCCCGCATGTATGCCTGCAGGCCAGAAGAGGGCACCAGATCTTATTACAGATGACTATGAGCCACCATGTGGTTGCTGGGAATTGAACTCAGGATCTCTGGAAGAGCAAGCAGTGTTCTTAACCTCTGAGCCATCTCTCCAGCCCACATCCCTTATTTTTTGAGGACTGTTTTCTAGCTCTTTCCATGAGAGAGAAAAAGTTGTTTTTGTTTGCTTTTCGGAGACAGGGTTTCTTCTGGCCATCCTGGAACTTACTCTGTAGACCAGGCTGGCCTTAAATTCATAGAGATCTATCTGTCTCTGCCTCCTGAGTGCTGGGATTAAAGTTCAACACCACCTCCCTGCAAATCTTCTATTCCTAAAACAGGCACTAAAAATATATTGTCAAGACAGGGTTTCTTTGTGTAACAGCCCTGGCTATGTTGGGACTAGCTAGCTCTGTAGACCAGGCTGGCCTCAACTCACAGAGATATATCTGCCTGCCTCTGCCTCCCTAGTGCTGGGATTAAAGATGCGTGCCACCACCACCCTAGAAAAATGTTATAAGGAACAACAGTTAAGAGGGCTTTTGGCATACCTCAAGCTGGCCTGGAATGTAACTTTTCTTTCTTTTCATTTATTATGTTTTACTTTTAATTGTGTGTGTTTGTGTGTGTGTGTGTGTGTGTGTGTGTGTGTGTGCAAGTGCTTACCCATCCCAGAGTCATGGGATCTTCTTGGAACTGGAGTTATGGGCAGTTGAGAGCTCCTGGACATGAGTGTTGGGAACTTAACATGGGTCCACTAGAAGAGCAACAAAGGCTCTTAAACACTGAGCCATCTTTCCAACCCAACTTCTCCATTTTTTCTCTCTTCTTTATTTTTTTGAGACAGCATCTCCAAATATAGCGCCGGAACAGAGTATGTAGACCAGGTTGGCCTTGAACTCAATAGAGACCCTCCTTCCTGAGTGCTGGGATTAAAGGTGTGCACCATCATGCTGGGCTTCTTCTCTAAAAAATATTTCATTTGTTTACGTGTTTGAGTGTTTTGCTGCAGGTATGTCTGTGTACCACGTGTGTGCCTGGTGCCAGTAGAGACCAGAAGAGGGTGCTGGATCCTTTGGAGCTGGAATTACAGCACTATGAGCTGTCATGTGGGTGCTGGGAATCAAGCTCTGGTCCTTTGGAAAAAGCAGTGTTGGTAACCCTTGAGCTATCTTTCCAGCCATATACCCCAAGTTCTTGGGTATAAGAAGATATGGGCCCTGTTTAGTTAGGTCTGTGGTGATGGTCTGGTGAGCCTTGGCATCCCTTCCAAGTCTGGCATCTTAGTCCCTCAGCGACAGGAGGAGGACATGTGATTATTATTATTAATTATTATTATTATTTTATTATTTCATCTGTGGTGAGAATATAGGAATTGTAGGTTGGATGGCAGCAGAAAGATTTGAACACAAGAAACACAAGAAACACACCCTGATCTCTGGTTTGAGATCCATAGTAACAACACCCTTAAGTGCTTCCACTAGGGCTAGACTCTAGTGGCCTGGGACTAGTTTTGAAAGTTAGCAGCAGGGCCGGAGAGAGGGCTCAGCTGTTGAGAGCACTTGCTGTTCTTGCAGAGGACTAAGATTTGGTTCCTAGCACCCACCAGGTGGCGCACAACTGCTTATAACTCCAGTTCCAGAGGCTCTAATGCCCTCTTATAGCTTCCATGAGCACTAGGCATGCACCAGGTGTGCAGACAAATGTAGATAAAACACCCATACACCCCCCCCCCGAGACAGGGTCTCACTGAATAGTCCCAGCGGGCTTGGAACTCACTGTACAGATCTCAAAATCGCAGAGATCTGCCTGCCTCTGTATCCCTAGTGCTAGACCTAAACGCTTGTGCCACCAGGCATATCCCACCCACCCACATTAGAAGGAAAAAGAAGCCAGCTTTCTAAATAACCGGATACGCTTGTGCCACCAGGCATGTCCCACCCACCCACATTAGAAGGAAAAAGAAGCCAGCTTTCTAAATAACCAAGCCATCTCTCCAGTTCTTCTATTAAAGGCCTAGTCAGTGGGTTGACTATTGGCAATCACTGTTGTTCACCAGATTTTACTCACACTTTATAAAAATGATGATCTGTATTTTTATTTATTTATTTTGTTTTGGTTTTCGAAACAGGGCTTCTCTATGTAGCTTTGGAGCCTATACGGGCACTCGCTCTGGAGACCAGGCTGGCCTCGAACTCACAGAGATCCGCCTGCCTCTGCCTCCCGAGTGCTGGGATTAAAGGCGTGCGCCACCAACGCCCGGCAAAATGACAGTCTTTAAATGATGGATGATTCACACTACTGTTATGCATGCTTCCTTCCTACCGCGGAAGAAATTCTCTTATTTACATTCTGGTCTCTCTTTTAACTCCTTGGTGATGGTGATGGCGATGATGATGTGATGGTGATGGCGATGGTGATGATGGTGATGGTGATGATGGTGATGGTGGAGTTGGTCTCATTCACTATCTTGAACTACAACTTCCATGAAGCAACCGGCAAAGCCTGCGTGATCTGACTGGACCTTCAGCCAATCCAATGCCAGGGCTCTTAGTCAGCGACCTATTGGCTCTTGGTAGAGGCGGGACTCCCAGTTGCTAGGCTGGTGCCTTTCCGGAAGTGGTTGCCGGTCGATGCAGGGCAACACCCCGGCGTCCCTGGAAGCGGGGAGCCGGACACCCCGGCGTCCCTGGAAGTGGGGGCCGGGGTGGTGCTGGGTAGGCGGCGCCGAGCCATCGTCCCGGGAACCCCGGGGTGGGGACAGGTGAGACCTCGGAGCCCGGCTTGGTGGCGTGGCGGGCATGGAGTTTGCAGGGAGCTGAAGCGCTTCGAGGTGTTGCTGCGAGGGAACTGAGGTGGGAGAGGAGAGTCCTCTGGCGTCCGCGGCCTGGTTTTCTAACCTCTCCTGAATCTACTCTCCCCTTACCCACTCCACCACGCTCCTCCTCTCATAATCCACTCCCAAGCTCAATCAAGGTCTAAGCATCTTTTGACCAGCTGAGCAAGAAGGGAGGTTTTGGGTTTTCTTTGCACTGATTTAGGAATCTCCTCCTGAAACCGCTGCACTCTTCTTGGCCTCGGTGACTAACTCAGCCCTCTGCAGGCCCCTGCTTGCTTCTCATTTGACTTCAGCTCTGGGGATTGCTCTCAGAGGTTTAGTTACCTGCTGCTCAGCGAAGTACTTGCTACCTGGACTGATACCTCCTCCTCGAGCTCAGACCAGCTTATGGATCGTCTCCAACCTTCCCTGGACTCCAGATCAAAATCTGTCGCGTGTTTCTTGTCTCAGTGCAGAACTTCCCCAGTCATTTAGCCCAGCCTACGTTGGGAATTTATTCTAGTGTCTGCAGCACACATATGTTTGGCATGTGTCTGGTTCTAGGCAGTCTGCTGTGGTGTTGCTTCATGGCTAAGGCCTAAAATCAGAACGCACTGGCTGAAATCCTCTTTGCTTTCTCTCTTCTCTCCCTTCACCTAGACCATAAGACCTGCGTTCTGCGTTCTCCTACCCTCTAGATTGGTCCCTTCTTTTCATTCAGGAAGCCACAGCCTTGGTTCATAATTTCTCGTTTGTGCTTTCAGAATAACGGCCTCTCTTCTTGCTCCTCTCTGATTAGTTCCTTGGCAGACGTCAGTCACCTTTCTTAACTGCAAATTTCATCACTTCAGCCTCCTTTATGAAATTCCTGCAGACAGCTTCAGCCCTCCCAAACCCGTAGTAGCTGCTCCTTGCCTTCCATTCTAGCAGTCTCTTTATTTGAAAAGTGGGGATAGTAACCCTTATCTAGCTGAAAGGGTGGGGTGAGATGATGGATATAACACCCTTAGTTCAGTCCCTGCAACATAGAAATACGCAGTTAGTCTAGGCTTTTGTTGTCATAATTAATTCTGACCCTTCCAAGCACATGTGTCCTCCCCCATATATATGGTTGTCTGGTAGTAGGGGTTGAACTCAGGGTTTTGCACATACTGGGTAAGCACTCTATAGCTAGCCCTAGTCACTACCCCTTACCACTAAGCCACTGTGCTTTTGTTCACGGCAGTCCTTCTGCTTTAAGTTTCCTTGCTTTGAGGGGCTGGTGAGACAACTCAGATGGTAAAGTTCTTCCTCTGTAAGCATGAGGACCTGAGTTCAGCCCCTTGTAAAAAGCTAGGGCTGGTGGTTCATGCTTGTAACCTCAGTGCTGGTCACATAGAGACTGGTGGATTCCTGGGACCAGAGTTGCAGGTGGCTGTGAGCTGGGAACGGGACTTAGGTCCTCTGGAAGGGCACCAAGTGCTTTTAGCTGCTGAGCTATCTCTGCAGCCCCAGACACTCTTGATTTTCTTCTTTCTCTTCTGGCCTCTTTTTTGAGTCTGTTCTGGAAACTTGCAGTTCTCTCTCTGTGACAAAGGCCAAATCTTTGGCATGGCTTTGCTTCCCCCTCCCCAGCAACATCTCTGCTGCTTTTCTGCTTGGTGGTTTCCCCTGCTGCAGGCCTTGTGCTTATGCAGCTACTTCTATTGCTAGTACTTGTTTCTGTCTCTGTCAGTAAATATCTGTTCATCCTCCAGGTCTCAGCATAGGCACTGTTAATCAGCCTCCGACTTACATCTTACTCCATATGAAATGATACTCTTCCTCCACCCCCCCCCCACCGTGTATTATTTTTTTCTCTTCCACCATGTGGGGCTTGGGGATTGAACACAGGCTGTTAGGCTTGGTGGCAAGTACCCAGTGAGTCATTTTGCCAGCCTCCTCCCCCCATCTCCTCTTCTCTCCTCTCCTCTCCTCTCCTCTCCTCTCCTCTCCTCTCCCCTCTCTCTCCTTCTCTTCCTTTCTTTCTTGAGACAGGGCCTTAAATAGCCTTGGCTGTCCTTGAACTCCTGTAGTTGAGGATGACCTTGAATTCGGGAATCTGTTCACACCTCCTTGTGCTGAGATAATGGGCACGCTTGCATCTCCATGCCTAGTTTAGTACTGATACTCTTATCTGCGACTGTCTGGCTAAACAGTAGTTTCTCGGGGAAGTGGTGACTGAGTCTGTTTAATACCGTTACATGTCTAGTGCCTAGAGGGAAATTTGATAGAAGCTCAGCTGACATTTTTCCATCTCATGAGTAACCTGCGTGAGCTGTCAGTGAGGCATACGTTCTGTGTGCACACTTCTTCTGCCTAGCTTTCCCTTGCCTCTTGCTTGGCCTCTCCTTGCTACATTTCTCTGAAGCCAGGAAAGGTACAGGATAGCCAACACTATTTGTTTTTCTGGCAGAAGAGTTCTCTGAAATTTAGAAAATCCATGAATTCAGATTTTCTAGTTTCTTCTTGGCCTATAGGTACTTAAATATGGATAATTTTGTTAATAGTCAGGTGTCCTTGTTTGCTTTCTGTTGCTGTGAAAAACACCATGACCAAAGCCACTTGGGAAGAAAAGGATTTATTTTGTCTTACAGCTTATAGTGCATCATGAAGGGATGTCAGGGGAGGAACTCAAGCAGGAACAGAGGCATGAACCATGGAAGAACAATGTTTGCATTACTGGTTCACTCTTCATGGCTCAGCTACTGTTTACTTTTTTAATTTTATTTATTTATTTATTTATTTATTTATTTATTTGAGATAGGGTCTCTCTATGTAGCCCTGGTCTTTGTAGCCCTGGCTGTTCTGAAACACACTCTGTAGACCAGGCTCTGCTTGCCTATGCCTCCCTATTGCTGATAATAGAGTCATGCACCACTACATCTGGCTTCAGCTACCTTTTTTTATACAACCTAGAACCATGTGCCCAGGGCTGGTCCAAAACACTGTGGGCTGGGCCCTCCCACATCAATCATCAATCAAGATAATTCCCAGACACGCCCACAGGCCAGTCAGCTGGAGTCAACTTCTCAATTGAGGTTCTTTCTTCCCAGGTGACTCTAGTTTTGTCAAGTTGACAAAAACTAAACAGCACTTGAGGCTTGTTCTTTTGCTCAGAGGACATCAGTTTTTCTGGCTGTTGGTCTCTGCAGATGGGATGTAGGGATAAGCCACGCTTCTCGGATGCAGAATTTTTCAGGCTGATATAGCACTCGTGTCGAGTGGCCCTGTGTCTGGTAAGCACTTGTTCACCTGGTAAGCGGTTTCTCACCGTCGAGTCCTCTCAGTCTTCAGCCCCTTCCTTTCCTCTTCCCCTCTTCCTTCTAATTAAGAGGATTAACGACTCAGGCGACCCCATTTGTGCCCTGCTTTCTGTCTATCCCTGTTCTAATTTTCAGAGTGAGTGGCGGTCAGGCCCTCCCCATCTCAGAGTGTAGAGGCATGGGTGTAGTGTCTGGAGGGTGGTCTGGTTTCTGAGGTGGGGAGTATTTTCCCCTAATTTAGGTATTGCCGGGGATCCCCCCCTTTTTTTTTTCCTTAGAGGGGACATGATGGGAATGAGCAGGGCAGAGTCTGGTTTTCTTGGACTGAAGAACAGATCAGTGACATGATCCGAGAGGGCCATAGTCACAGCTCTTGATGGATTTTGTGTTGCTTGTCGGGGATCTGTCTCTAATGGTCTGGCATAAATTCAGAGTTACCAGCTTCAGCCTTTACTGAACATTCCACTTCAGGCCTGGCCAGTCATGACCTTTAAAATGGGCAGTGGGGAAAAGAGGAATATCTTTTTGCTGGAAGAGGGGCATGGCATGTGCGTTGTCCCAAGTGGAATAGTCAAGTTTCTGAAGAAGTGGGCAGGAGAGGCCAGGACCAGCTGTGTTCATCATACCAGGGGTGGCTGACTCAGGTGGGGAGTGCTGTGACAGCCTGTTTGTTTCTGTTTTATTAGTTTTCAAAATGGGAGCTGCTGTGGGGAAGGTTAATAGAATCTTGGGGTCCAGGGCTAGAGATAAGACTAGGGGCAGGAAGAGAGGGACAGTCCCAGCATTAAATGAGGGTCTCCAGCACTGCCAACAAGCAAATAAAATAATATACAGTATACAAAGAGAACAACACTAGTTTGTCAGCTAAGCACTTGGTGCCACTGCATCCCTGGACCTTGGTTTCAAAGTAAACCGTCAAAGTCAGCCTGGATTGATAGATGGTGGCTTAAACAACAGGGGTCTATTTTCTCATGGTTCTGGAGGTTGGAGGTAACAGATAAAGACACTCCCTAATCCCTGTCTTGCACGTGGCTACCATCCTGCTTTGTCTTCATTTGATGGAGGGAGAACTGATTTCTTTTCCTTTGCTTAGAAGGACACTAATCCTGTCAGGGCACCCTTATGACCCCACTTAATGTTGATTTTGTCTTAAAGAGCCTACTTCTTACAAAGTCAGATCATAAGTGTCTTGGAAGGACACAGCCCCCTCCATCAGGACTCCTCTCTTCCCTTCCTCCTCCGTGCTCCTAATAAGCCCTGTCTTTGTCCCTTTTCCACCTCTGCTTCTTCTGCCCTAGTTTAAGCCCTCACTAAATTTTACTGGGACAGAAGACTTCTCAAGCGCCTTTCTTGACACCAGTTTCTTGTTTCTCCAATTCAGCCATTTCAGTCTTACCAGAGTTCCTGTCCTAAATAAAAGGTCACCCTTCCCAAAGCCCTCAGTGAGGTCCCCTTAGTACAGGGCATGAGACTTTCGGTGTCCAGCCCCTGCTATACATGCTGTGATTCCGTGCCCTAAAACACCTGCAAGCATCGCCCTTTTGTCCTTGTCTAAAGTGCTTTCCTCATCCTTCAGTGGGAACTGTCCTCTTAGTGCTCTCAGAGCAGGTGCTGAAGTCACATTGGCTCCTGGCCCTGAATAGCATGCTCCGGGGGCACCGTTGACTGTAATGGCCTCTCTGTGCCCTGGGGTGTGCTGACACACCTGAGGGTCTGTGTTTTTGGTGTCACTGGGGTTTTCTGGCTGAGGTATACTACAGTTTGGGGTATTCTCCTGCTTGGTAGGGATACAAAGTTAAGCTCCTTAAAGGTTTATTTTTGTTTTATGTATATGAATGTTTGTCTGCATTTATGTGTGTGCACCATGTATGTCCCTGATGGAGGCAGAGGCCAGAAGATGGTGTTAGATCTCCTGGCACTGGAGTTATAGAAGGTTGTGAGCCACCACATGGGTGCTGGGGAATTGAACCCAGGTCTTTTGAAAAAGTAGCCAGTGCTTTTAACCACTGAACTATCTCTTCAGTCTTCAAGGTAAACACGTTAGAGAGCCAGTCCTGAAGATTTCTTGTGGTGCACTGTGTGTACTCTAATCTTGGGCAGGGGCAAGCCAGGGAACTTATGCAGGCACAGAGTCTGTGAAGCTCGGAGCTGTGGGCAGGATCCCCAGCCATGCTGGTCTTCTGGCCAGCTCCTCAGCCATGTTGGTTTGCAGGGTCTGTTGTGACCCAGATGCTCTATGATCCAACTCACGTTTTCCTTCCAGGCCAGCTCACTGATTTTCTCTTTTGACAGGGTCTCTGGGATCTAGATAGTTCTGCCAGGCTGAATCATGGCTAGACGACCCATCCTCTTAGGTGACCAGCTGGTCCTGGAGGAAGATTCTGATGAGACTTACATCCCCAGTGAGCAAGGTAAGAGGCTTGTGGTAGATTGTAATCGTTCTTTGAGGGCGGAGATTATATTTGATTTACTTAAACACATTTTAAAAAATTAACCTATGTGTGTGGGTGATTTGCCTGCCATGTATATGTATATTACATGTGTACAATGCCTGCAGAAGCTGGAAGAGTGCATCAGATACCCTGAAACTGGAGTTATGAGCCACCATATAGGTGCTTGGAATTAAACCTGGATCCTCTGGAAGAGCAGCCAGTGCTCTTAACCACTAAGCCCAACCCCCTGATTTGCTTTAGTTCTTCCAATACAGTGTTAGTTCCAGGCACAGGGCTGCTCAGTATATTTGTGGTAGATCAGAGGTTGGCAAACTATAGCCTAAAGGCTCAAGTTGGCACCTAGTCTATTTTTTGTCAATAAAAATTATTGGAGCCAGGCGTTGGTGGCGCACGCCTTTAATCCCAGCACTCGGGAGACAGAGGTAGGCGGATCTTTGTGAGTTCGAGGACAGCCTGGTCTCCAGGGCAAGTGCCAGGATAGGCTCCAAAGCTACACAGAGAAACCCTGTCTCAAACAAACAAACAAACAAACAAACAAACAAACAAAAAATTATTGGAAGACAGCCATGCTTATTTTTACATCCTCTGTGGTTGTCATCATGCTGTGATAGCAGTATCAATTAATTGTGACAGATTTATGTCCTTCAAAGCCTACAGTATGTGCTATCCATCCCTTTACAGAAAATGTTTACTGGCCCTCGAGATCATGAGACTGCAGTATAGTGGCTATTGTGAAATATGACATGTAAATCCAAATTTTTTAGAACAAGCTAAGGCTGGCATGTTTGCATTCCCTGTAATTTAAGCATTTAAGGGGCTGAGGCAGGAGGATTGCTACAAGTTAAAGGCCAGGACTACAGAATGAGTTTGAGGCCAGCCTGAGCATCATAGTCTCAAAAACAACAAGGTTATGACTCAGTTGGTCGAGTGCTCGCCTAGCATGCATGAAGCCCTGGGTAGCATTATTTATTTATATTACTTTGTTCTAGTCTCTGTTTTAAAAACTTTGTATTGATTTCCCTTTCAAACCAAGCTGAGTATAGGGATGAATGCCTTAACCTTTAATCCCAACACTTGGGAAGCAGAGACAGGTGGATCTCTGAGTTCCAGGCCAGCCTGGTCTACAAAGTGAGTTCCAGGCCAGCCTGGTCTACAGAGTAAGTTTTAGGCCAGACAGGGCTACACAGTGAGACCTTCTCTCAAGCAATCATAACAAAAACCAAAAAACAATCCCCTTCCCCCCCAACTCCGTTAGTCAGATCTTGTCCTTTTCCCTGTCTGGGAGAGAGGTTTGGGGAGGTTCCTGTAGCTCTGCACTGCTGAATGGTAGAGCTGGGCCACTCCAGCCCTTGAAGTGCTTTGCTGCTCATGGATTGAAATTTGCTTTGACATACTGAAGAATTTTGGCCCTAGATACAAGTTATGCTGTTCGTGGACGGTAGAGAAAGGTAAGAATGTGTGCCTCCCAGTCTAGGATCCCACTTATCTTTGATTTGCTTCCAGCCTAGTGTGTTTGCTGATTGCCATGTAAAAGTTCTAAAATTGAATATATTCATTATTTTTATTTGTTAATTCATTTTTTTTGTTTTGTTTTGTTTTTTTGTTTTTGGTTTTTCGAGACAGGATTTCTCTGTGTAGCTTTGGAGCCTATCCTGGCACTATCCAGGCTGGCTTCTCGCCTGCCTCAGCCTCCCGAGTGCTGAGGTTAAAGATGCGCGCCACCAATGCCCGGCTGTTAATTCGTTTTTTAAACATTTATGTACTGGAGGGTGGCATGGTGTGCACATCATAGTAAACGTGGAGGCTGGAGGACAGTTTTGTGAGGGTGATTCTTTGTCCACCGTGTGGATTGCAGGAGTTAGACTCGGGTCTTCAGGATTGGTGGCAAGCATCTTTACTTGCTGAGCTATCTTAATGCACCCCCACTCCACTTCTTGTTTTTGAGATCCAGTTTATAACAGTCCTCCTGGTTCAGACTCCCAAGTGCTGGGATTACAGGTATGAGCCACCACCTAGCTGTACTTTTATTGTTCATTCTCTGGTACCAGAGAGCAAACCCAGACACAAAGGACACCCTCTACTGTGGGACTATATTATATTCTCAGCCCCAGACTCTGAATTAAAAAAGCAATTCTTTGTAGATTTGTTTATTTTTATGTGTATGTTTTGTCTGCATATATGTCTCTGTACCATGAGTGTATCTGGTGCCCACAGAGGCCAGAAGAGGGTGCTGGATCCCCTTCAGCTGGAGTTAGACAATTGTGATCCATTGTGTGGGTGCTGGCAATGGAACCCAGGTACTCTGGAAGGACAGCCAGTGTTCTTAACCACTGAGCCATCTCTCCAGCTTAGATTTTGCAATTTTTATGTTTTCTCTCAGTCTGATGGTGAATTGCCTCTGAGTTATGTATTTATTTAGAAAAGCCTTCCCCACCAAAAGGAGAACTGATTTCTTTCCTGTTTCTACACCATTAATGGGATAGCTCCTCTCCCTACTGTCCTTGCCTTTGCTATGTGCATTTGGGTCTGTCTCTTCTCCTATTGGGCTATTTAGTCACCTGTCAGTGTCCCACTCTGAATTTTTGAGGCTCTATTTGATTCTAATACTGAGTAGGGCTAAAACACCCTTGTAATTTTTCCAATTTTCTTGGCCATTTTTTAGTTTGTTTTACTGCCCCATGACTTGTATTATCTTGTCAAGTTCTGGGTAGGGCAGTATATGGGAGGATTGTTGGTACCCAGGGGGTGTGGTGATGAGTATTGGATTGATTCAGAGGGGACTGTCATCTTTATAAACTGTAAATGTCATATTCCTGTCTGTGGGTCTTTTTTATGCTATTCTTCAATGACTTCAAATTTGCTTTGTTTTTTACATTTATTTATCATATGTGTGTGTGCTACATATGGCATAGTCAGAGGACAACTTAAAAAAAGAGTCAGTTCTTTCCTTCTACCATGTAGGTTCCAGGATCCAACTCTGATCATTAGGCTTGGCTGCAAATTTTTATTTTTTTAGACAGGGTCTGGCTGTGTAGGTCAGGCTGGCCTGAGATGGGCAGTGATCCCATCACCTCCACCTCTGGAGCGGAGCATCAGGGGTACAGGCATGTGCTATCTCGCCTGGTTTTCCTAAAGGTTTTTCTAGGGATTTTCTTCTTTTTTATAAAAACTCTTCTGCTAAGGTCTAGCTTCTGGTACACTAGCCCGAGCCACACCATCGTCTCTGTCTCTGTCTCTGTCTCTGTGACTTCCTGCTCAGCTCTCTGTTCTCGTTTCTGCATTGTCTGGTCTGTGTCCCACCTACTAGCAGTAATCTTACAGGGAGAAACGGATTGTTTCCGGGCTGGATTCAGTGCCCTTCCACATATTCAGTATCCTGGTCTGTTGTGCTGGCACCTTTGTGTAGAACTAAAAAAGGTGAAGGTGTTCAGTAAGTCATTCCCTGGTCAGTTAAGTGCCAGCTGGCCCTTTAGAAAAAGTGTTATTTCCTAGTCCTCAGGTATGTCACCCTCTATTTCTCCACAAAGATGACTTGTATTGGTGATATCTGGCTGTCCTGGACTAAACTCAAGCCTGGGTATTTACTTTATCATTCCGGTGGCCCCTAGTGACATTTTCCAGTGGACACATCACCTATTTTTTTCCCCAAAGATCAGATTGCTGTTAGCATAGTGCCTTGTCTCTTCTGTCCCCCAAATCTCTGGCAAAGGGCCCTCCTAACCATCTGATTCTGAGAGGAGAGTAGAAATGGAGTCTGAAATATATAACACAATTGAGTAAGAAGCAATCCTCTTTTAGAAAAGGGGTTCGCTAGATGGGGAAGAGGCCACCTGAGTATTATCTACTTTGTCATCTGGGGACCTTCCTGTCCCTCAGAGAACCAGGCACTCACTGCCTTCTGTCTGCTGCCGTGGCACATGGTACATGCCACTGTCACAACACACACTATCTATTTCATGATCTGTGTTTGGAAGGTCCTTGAAGATCTCAGTCTTCTGTACTTGATGGAACTCACTTGGGGCTTGAGGGCCAAGTACTTCAGGCCAGCTCCTGTAAATCTTCTGTGAGCTTATCTTCTAGTAAGGCTGCCCTTGTCCTGAATGGTTCCGGCTGTGGCCTGGGTCCTTCCTGAGGCTTCCCCATTGTGAGGTTCCGGCTGTGGCCTGGGTCCTTCCTGAGGGCATCCTCACTGTGCAGTCTTGGTTTCATTACTCTTTCCTTTTGTGAACTGTGGCTTCAGATTATATTTATGGGAGTTTGGTGGTAGCATGACTTGATTCAGATGCCATTTATAAATAGTGATGCAAGGAAACCATTCTGAATGTTTGTTTATTAAAGCTTTTTGAGATGGTCTCTGGAGCTGAGGATGACCTTGAACTCTTGCTCCTCCTGCTTCTACTTCCCAAGTGCTGGGGTTATGGTTATGTCCAGCCACATCCAGCTTTATTCTATACATTTATTATTTATATTTAGAGAAACCATATTTTACCATTGAAGAAAACTTGGAGAGTAAAGGAAAACCCAGAAAAGAACTGACTCAATTTTGTTTCTTTCTGTGCCTTCCCTCCTCTTCTCTCTCTTACCCTCCCACCCTCCTCCTTGGTCCTCCTCCTTATTTTGCAGAAATCCTTGACTTTGCCAGAGTGATTGGAATTGACCCCATCAAGGAACCAGAACTGATGTGGCTGGCAAGGGAGGGTATTGAGGCTCCATTGCCCAAGGGCTGGAAACCATGGTAAGTCATTGCAGTAGCTCACTAACTTGGCCTGTCAGAGACAGAGGGACCTGACTCTGGAATTCAGTGGTGTGTGTGTGTGTGTGTGTGTGTGTGTGTGTTTATACATGTATATGTGTGTGCATCTGATGTGTACTGCCATGCCTGTCTTATGTGTATAAATGTTTTATCTGCATATATGTGTGTGCGCCATGTATGGGCTTGGTTCCTGCAGAAGCCTGAAGAGGACATCAGATTCCTTGGAATTGTAGTTATAAATGGTTGTGAGCTACCATATGGATGTTGGGAATTAAACTCTGGTCCTCTGCAAGAGCAGCAAGAGCTCTTAACTGCTGAGCCATCTCTCTAGCCCCCCTTTTGTTTTTATTTGTTTTTTTAATATTTATTTTTAATTGTGCTGGCTAATTTTATATCAACTTGACACAAGCTAGAGTCATCTGAGAGGAAGGGACCTCAATGGAGAAAATGCCTTCATAAAATAGGGCTGTAGGCAAGCCTGTAGGGCATTTGTGTGAGAGGGTCCAGCCCATTGTGGGACTGGTGATCCTGGGTTCTATTTTCTCTTTCTTTTCTTTCTTTTTCCTTTCCTTCCTTCCTTCCTTCCTTTTGTTTTTTTCTAGATAGGGTTTCTCTGTGTAACAGCTTTGGCTGTCCTGTAATTTGCTCTGTAGACCAGGATGACCTCAAACTCACAGATTCACATGGCTCTGCCTCCTGAGTGATGGGATTAAAGGCAACGTCACCACCTCCTGGCCATGTGTTGTAATTTCTAATAGCAGGTTGAGTAAGCCATATGGAGGAAGTCAGCATCCTCTAAATGCCTCTGCATCAGCTCCTGCCTCCAGGTTCCTGCCCTGTTTGAGTGCCTACCTTGGCTTTCTTCAGTAGATTGTGACTTGGGATATGTAACCCAGATAAACCCTTTCCTCCCCAAGTTGCTTTTGGTTTGGTGTTTCATCACAGCAATAGTAACCCTAAGACATTATGTGTATGTGTGTGGGTATATGCATGTTAGTGCAGTTGCCCATAGAGACCAGGACAGAAGAGGGCATTGGAGCCTCTGGAGCTGGAGTTATAGAAAAGGTTGTGAGCTGCCTGATGGGCAGCTGGGAAATGAAATCTGATCCTCTGAAAAAGCAGTACACAATTTTAACTAATGAGCCATCTCTCCAGCTCCTTGGCTTTGTTTTTATGACAGACACTTTACCTGAGCCATTTACCCAAGCCCTGGAGATGAATTTTAATGATCAGGGCAAGACTGCCATTTCTCTGCAGGTTGCCTCTTGTTTCAGGACTGAGTAGGCTAACTTGAGGGTCCCTGGGATAGGATCAGAATGTCCCTCTAGACCACAGAGCTGCCACCCTGGCTCGGTCCTCTCACACTGGTGTCTGGGTTGGTTGCACTTAGGAGTAGTCTTTGTTGGTCCTTACACGCTGATAGAATGTTAAAGGTGAAAGCTGTGGGATTTGGGGAGACTGCTCTGTGTAGGCAAAGTTTCCTGTCCTAGCAGCTGTTTCCCAAATAACCAACACTGAGACTTAATATTACTTATAAATACTTGGCCAATAGCTCAGACTTATTACTAGCTAACTCTCACATTTAAATTAACCCATAGTTCTTATCTATGCTCTACCATGTGGCTTGGCACCTTTTCTCAGTACAGTATGCTCATCTCATTTCTCCCTGCATCTGCTGGCAACTCCTGATTCCGCCTTTCTTTTTCCCAGCATCCTTAGTTTGATCGTCCTGCCTGTAGCTACTGGCCAATCAGCATTTTATTAAACCAATTCGAGTGACAAATCTACCATGTACAAGAGGATTATTCCACAGCAGCACAGTCTGTAAAGTGCTTGCTTTGCAATCATGAGGTTCTGAGTTTGGTCCCCAGAACTTGTGTGCAAAAAGCTAAGCACAGTGGTACCTGCTTGTAATCTCAGCATAAGGAAGCATCAACAGGCTCATCCTGGGGCTAGCTAGTCTAGTCTACCTGATGAGCTCTGGGCCAGTAAGAGACTCTGTCTCAAAAACAAGGTGGATGGTTCTTGAGCAACAATGCCTGAGTTTGTCCTTTGGCATTTATGCATATGCATAAATATGAGTACATATATGAGAATGCACTTACACAGAAAAAGTGATGGCCTATCTCCTCCTCAATATGTCTAAAATAGATGCTGAGGCCAAAGGGTTTGTAGTGAGGCCACACAGGTTTGGCCAAAGATTTCTGTCTCCCTTAGCCATCCTAGAATTTGTGTAGCATATTCTTTTTTCTTTAAGTTATCATTGTGTAAACCATATATGTGTATATGTGTGTGCTTGTGTCTAACTTTGTGGATTTGGTACTTCCCTTTCATGTTTACATGGGTTCCAAGATTGTACCAAGGCTACCAGGTGTCATAGTTAGGGTTTCTATTGCTGTGAAGAGACGCCATGACCATGGCAACTCTTACAAAGGAAAACATTTAATCGGGGTTGGCTTACAGTTTCAGAGCTTTAGTCCATTATCATCAGAGTGGGAAGCATGGCAGTATACAGGCAGACATGGTGCTGGAGAAGGAGCTGAGAGTTCTACATTTGGATCTGCAGATGTAGATATAGGAGGAAAATGCCACCCTGGATGTGGCCTGAGCATCTGAGACCTCAAATCCTGCCCCCAGTGACACACCTCCTCCAACAATGCCACACCTACTCCAGCAAGGCCACACCTCCTAATAGTGCCACTCCCTGTGAGCCTATGGGGGGCATTTTCTTTGAAACCACCAGGGTTTTCACTCCCTGGTCCTCATAGGCTTGTAGCCATATCATAATGCAGAAGTGTATTAAGTCCAACTTTAAAAGTCCCCATAGTCTATAAAAGTACAAAGTCTTTTCTGAGGTTCATACAATCTCTCTCTCTCTCTCTCTCTCTCTCTCTCTCTCTCTCTCTTTCTCTCTAGTATTCTGCTTGCATGTATCCCTTCAGGCCAGAAGAGGGCACCAGATCTCATTATAGATGGTTGTGAGCCACCATTTGGTTGCTGGAAATTGAGCTCAGGACTTCTGGAAGAACAGGCAACTGCTGAGCCATCTCTCCAGCCCCTCATGCAATCTCTTTACTATAATCCCTTATAAAATCAAAATAAAAAAAGCAGATCACATACTTTCAACATGTAATGGCACAGGATATACACTACCTTTCCAAAAGGGAGGAAAGGGTCATAATGAGGAAATACTGGACCAAAGCAGGACCAAAAACTAGCTGGGCAAACTCTAAATTCTGCATTTCCATGTCTGATGGCATATCTCCAACTCCTTTCAGCTTCGTTGACTGTAACACACTTCTCTCTCTTGGGCTGGCTCTACTCCCTCTTAGCAGCTCTCCTTGGCGTGTAACCCACGGCTCTGGCATCTTCAACATTTTGTGTACTCCAAGACAATCCAGGCTCAGTTTCATAAGCTTCATGAAATGGCTTTTCTAGGCCTCCATGCAGGGACACCCTTGACACACTCACGGCCTCAGGAGCTTTCCTTAGTCATGGAGGGAGATTCCGTAACCCCTTTCTTCTACCCTTGACTCTATACTCAGAACTGCATAGCTGAAGCTTCGAAGTTCTGCTGCTTGTTGGGGCTGGAACATGGTCCTTTGTTTAATTACATCTTCAACTTTCTGTTTTTGATGGTTTCCTTCATCTTGTTCTGTAGAACAGGCTGGCCTTGAATTTAGGGGATTCACCAGCCTCTGCCTTCTGAGTACTGGATTAAAGGCATGCATCACCACACCATGTTGGGTTCTAAGTTTTTCTTTAATCCCTTCTCACAAATTGAAAGCTTAGCTGGATAGGGTCTTGCTCTGAGGTCACCACTCCCTTTATTCCACTTAGCATCAGGCTTTTCTTTAATCTGGTTATACTTCCTGGTATCCCTTTACTCCTCAAATTGTACATTTTGTATTTTTCTTTTCATAGCTTGCTCCTTTTCATTATAAATCTATGAGTGAATGCTAATAATCATGGAACAGAGTCAATACTGGACTGTTTTGAGACTTCCTCTGCTAATGCGATTAATCCAGAAACTCTTCAGTGTAGCTCAGGCATTCTTTTTGAACAGGGGTAAAAAGCAGCCACATTCTTTTTTTTTTTTTTTTTTTTTTTTTTTTT